CATGTTTTCCAGTAGCTCTAATATAACGAGTGACCCATAAAGAATGTTCCTCTCAGTATTTTGCTTATAACTTGGTTTGGATTTGTTTCCGGGACTCGATGTTTTTTTCAAAAGATGCGCTGCGAAATACTGTACAAAATCATACCTAAACTATAATTTCAGAACTTCAATCAAGAAAACTAAGCCAATTAGATGAAAGTCGAAAAAATGTAAACTTCCTAAAATCAAAATTTTTTTTCGAATTGACCTTTTTCCTTTGCTACTATTTCCGCTAAAATGTGTAGCAAAAGTGGGAACTCAGTTTATGTTTGGTACTTTCAACTGTGCTCTTTCCCGAGGTCTGTAAAAAACTTTTTTAAAGCAGACGGTGTGCTCGAGAACGAAGTTACAAAAATACATCAAAAGTTGACAACCTTCCCGTTTCCAACGATGTGCTCAATCAAGAAACGGAAAAGATGATTGAAGTTTGGTTTTGCAGTTAGACAGAGAAGAGCAATCATTTCTGATCAAAACAAAGCAAACCAGGCCGAAAAAGCTTTTATTCTGATGGAGTTATGTGGCTTTTACTGAGAGCGCTACTATACCCAAAATTTAGAAAATTAATGAAAAAATGCATGACAATCGATAGAAAAACTGTTATTTCCCTGTGGCTCTTGATGTGAAAAAATGTGGAGTGTAGCTAAAAGATAGAGCGAAATCAGGGCTACAAAATGGCTAGTTCAGTTTTTCTTACTTTCAAAACGTTAATACACGACATCATTTTTGAGTTTAGGAAGTTTACGTTTTTTTCGACTTCCATCTAACTGGTTTAGTTTTCTTGATTGAAGTTCTGAAATTATAGTTTAGGTATGATTTTGTACAGTATTTCGCAGCGCATCTTTTTAAAAGAACATCGAGTCTCGGAAATAAATCCAAACCAAGTTATAAGCAAAATACTGAGAGGGATATTCTATATGGGTCACACGTTAAATACAACTCTACTGTAGAAAATGAAAAATCTTTTAGGCTCAAACACTGAGCGCCATCGATTAATTTCTTATTTCTGTAGCTTTGAGCTGACAATGAACATTTAGGGCTTTTCTTGTAAATTGTATAACTTTGCAAAGAAAGATCGTGTAGAGCTGTGAGGGGTCTCATTTTAATCAGAAATGTGCGGGCTACAATCCTGCCTCATTAACAAAGGTTTTGGTTATTTTTTAGGAGTTTTGAAAAACTGGTTTTCCAGAAATTCGATCTCTAAAGACCTATCGACCAAAATGATTGTTATATTCGGAATCAGTATAGTCGCTAACGTATAACCCACTAGGCTTTAGCCCGAAAGCGATTTGCTCCCCTCACAAGCGATTGGTTCCCTCGTAAGTGCGCAGAGAAAAAAAACCGTGAAACTCATGACGATTTTTACACTCTTATAGTTTCTTGCAGTCAGTTTGGCATGTTTATTTTTTCTCGCTTTTGGTTGTTCATCCTTTTGTTCCCTATGCTTCCAATATGACGGTTTAAAATCGTTAGCAAAGCCGTCAAAGTAAAATTGTGCAAGCTACCGTAGGTGCATTTGAGATATAAAAGGGAAACGCTAACTGTATAGGTGAACACAGATATCATATGATATCATCGAATGTATCCTATGACGAACGTCTAGAAACTTATGATCAGCATTTTAGGGGAAGATATTCACTACACCTTTCCCTCTACCTCCTGGATGCTTGTCAGTGGTTAGAGTCATTCATATGTGTTTCAGATAACATCCCTCCTCCCTGTCTATAGTGTCAGTTTTACTCTCTGCTCGACTAATGCTCTTTATTGAATATTTCTGAGTTGTGTCGAAAATCCCAAGATTAAACTAACGTTAGTTTATCAGGAAGACTTTCTGACGCGCTAACGATGGAAATTGCACACGTTTTTATGAATTTTGAAGCTTCGATAAAATCGTCAACTAAATGCATGAGTAACACTTTCACGATTTTTCTCTCATACGTTTATTTTCATTGTTGTCCTGTGACAAGCCGTCAGTTCACAATTTTATTTCTACAGTTTTGAGCTGTACGATATTTTTTCATGGTTTAAATTCACAGTTCTCAAACTGACAGTTTTATCTCAGCATTTTCCTCTGACAGTTCCAAAGTGGACGGTTCTTTTTTCTATGGTTTTAACCTTTACGGTTTAAATTCCATAGTTTTTCTTTTTTACTTTTTGATTTCATTCACATCAACTACATTCATGATATAGTTTGCTACTTCATGGTTCTTCTACACGGTTTTCTTTCGATGATTATGGATTTCACGGTTTTTCTTACGATTTTTTTTCACCGTGTGCAGTTTTTTGAAATGCAAGTATATACCTGTGGCGTCGGGCAAGTAATTTTGTGTACTGTATAATTGTTTTATGTTTTTGGTTGGTAGAACAAAACAAAGTGGATGTTTTAATCAACGTTGAGCCTTTGAATGCGATATAATTGGATGCTTTATATCCAAAAAAATTATTTCTTTTCACTACTGCAATTCTGTGTGTAGTTAAACACGAGGTAAAGTGAAGGTTAGTATCGTCAGTGACACTACAGATGTTACAACCCAGCTTGACGAACTTTGAAATGAGATCTTGCAGCTACAGGTTCTTAGAAGATCTTATTTCACGAATTCACAAGATTTCGAAAATATCTTGTGAAATTTACACAAGATGTTGCAAGATTTTTTAAAAAGTCTGCAACATTCTTATATAGATTTCACAAGATTCTTTTGCAACAAGATCTTGTATAGCAGTCTAGAAAACGTTTTTCTCGTCATTACTGAACTTATTGAAATTCTGAAACAGTAAAAAACTATTCGAATGAAAGTTTAATTTTCGAAACGTTGAATAAGTGGCACCATGGTAGCTCAGAACACTCACGTATGTAAAAATACAGTGTGGCACGATACAATTAGTTATCGCTAGAAATTATGTAATGTTTAGTTACCTCGAAATATTAGTGTCAAAATGTCTCACGATATTTATTACAGGGGAGTTGAAAATGTTCTTTTCCTGTCTTGGAGAATAGCAATGATTCTATACGTCCAGGTTCTTTTACCTGGACCAAAGAAAAGATCATGAAAACTTTCACAAGAATATAAGAATTCATCAGATTCTACAAGAGTATGTGCCTAGTCCTGTCCTACAGATTCTCTCTACACTTTCTTCAAAAGTATTTCTTTTTAATAATATTTTCTGGCAAAATTAGGATCATGCTGTCCTAAGGATTGTGTCTGAGCATGTTCCTTATACCGATGCACTTTATTTGTGGTCAGTTGATGTGTTGAAGAAAGAATTATTATAAGAACGATGTTGCATATATACTATATATTGTAGCAAAATTTATGTAAGAACGAGTCATTTCATCATAAGAATGAGATTCACGACTAAGTTTGAAAAAGATATAAAATAGACTCGTAACATTCAGACTGAGGTTTGTGTGTGTATAGTGACGTTTTTTTTTATTATGATGCTATTTCTGGTTTTAGTAGTATGACAAGAACAGATGGACTGAATCCTATATAAGGATATGAATCATATTTATGCTAATCTAGTGCATTCTGTTTTTTTCGTTTTGCACAAGGGTTTTATTATATTTTACGCAATAAACCGAAGGACAAAAGATAATATATAATCATAAAAAACATTCTATTAATAATGAAAATAAAACGTATTTGACATTGAAAGTCATGAGTCAACTAAAAGAGACACTGCTTTATTCTGTCACAAATATGAAGTCTTATTTTCAAAATTTATTCAATTTACTACGAATATTATTCTTGTATTATAAACTTTTATTTTATTTTTTATTTACTGGAAACGGTATATTGAACTATAGAGGTGAAATTGATCATATGATTCTTGTTCATATTTATTCCATCGTTCTAACATTTCGTCTTTGGTCTAAACCACATTATCGTGCGAAAGACTACCGTGCAGATATGAGGCAGAATTTTAAAAATGTTGCCATCCCCAGTACGGGTATCCCATTGAGTATTTTCGTATGGAATAAATTGGTATTTTCTATGTTTATTTTCCAGTATTATCCATTAGTAGCATTTATTTCAGCCGTCTACTTTTACTTCCACGAGAAAAAGAACAAGACGATTGTCGAATATTTTCATGAACAACTATTATGTCCGCAACATTGGTTTGTTCTATGGAGAATCAATTCGACAATTGCACAATACCATTCATATAAAACGAACAGTGAACAATATCAAATGGAAGATAAAGGAGAATTTCTGCTTAGAGGGAACAAATTAGGTAATCTTCCTCTTCTCGAAGATCTTACAAAGAGTAGCATTGAGAAAGAAGCGAACAATTTAGAAAAAAATTGACATCTCTTTATCTCGTATTTTAATGGATTTTACCGGGTGATTGAATTGAAATCGCTAACGATGAAACATCGCAGGTGTTCAATCGCTTTTTTCCTCGAAACACACATGGTTAAAGGTGATTTTTGATACTAATTATAAATCTGATATCCGTTCGGAGCCATATGATCTTTCGGAGTGGAGCTTCTGAAATATGGTCTCGGAAGACTTATCTTCAAATCCAACGGAAGCGACTTACCTGTGTAGAAAAACCTTCAGACATAAAGGTAGAATTTTGGCTGAGACGAAGGGATTTTACACTAGTAAAAGGTGTAAAGTCAAGGCTCGCAGTAAATCGGAATGTAATTCTTTCAGCTCAACCAAAATTCTACCTTTATGTCTGAAGGTTTTTCTATATATGTAACTCGACATGTTCTTCAAGACAGACAAATTAAATCTCTTCCGCTTGGATTTGAAGATAAGTCTTCCGAGACCATATTTCAGAAGTTCTACTCCGAAAGATCATATGGGTTCGAACCGATATCAGATTCATAATTAGTATCAAAAATCACCTTTAATCATGTATGTTTCGAGGAAAAATCTGGGATGGCTACTTTGTAAGCCTACGAACTTTCTTATTCAAGTGTGACATAGTTAAGGCATTAGATACAGCAAAATTGTATGAATTCTTCTTTAGGCATACCTGTCTCGCCATTTTTTAAATTTCCATCGATAATGATCAAACACAAAGCTATTGAAGGTGGTATGGGAATCCATATTTATCGAAATTTTGCTATTGAGGAAAATCCGGGTGATTGGATTCTGCAAGAAGTATTTGAAAACTCAGCATTTGTTAAACAACTTATACCCGAAAATGCTCCATTGTCAACAATTCGTGTAATAACAGCATCATCTGCGGATAAAACGAATTCAATTAAAGCTTTAACTGCCGTATTTCGAGCAGGACGTCCGAATGAATCAACAGATCATAATGCAATATTTTTCAATATTGATATGAAAAGTGGACTTTTATCGTCAGGTACGACAACCAAACATTGGAATAAATTAGGGCTGTTGAATTTTTGTCACATTGATAAAACAATGTGGAACGTATATCGGACTCATCCAGATAGTGGAGTTCAGATTGAAGGAGTAAAATGGCCGAATCTCAGTGAACTAATCAAAATTGTTTGTGATGCACATGAAAAAATGTGTGCAGATGTGCCTCTAATTGGGTGGGATGTGGCTCTCACTTCAAAAGGTATTATGCTATTAGAACTGAATATATCATGTAATTTTTTCAATGGAAAACTTGATAGAAGGCACTATACCAATTTTTGTTACGATTGGTTTCGTGTGCTAGATTCATCATAAAACCTCAGTACTCAGATCTGTAATATAAAATCACTTTAAATAAGTAAACTTTCATATTGTTTCTTTTTAACCGTCGTCTTGCTGAAGTAACATTTTTTTATAGCTTAGATCTCGATATTTTTTTGCAATCATAATTAGACGCGTTTTCACTTCAAGGTAGACATATGCACCGGTGAAAAATGTTCGGCGGTGGCTAATCTCAAAATTTTGTTTAGCCTTCGATGACGGCGGTGAACGACCTGGAACTGCAAAATTTCGAAACCGGAGACGAAAATGTTTTTCGCCAAAGTTGTTATTAGCTGTCATCATCTGTGGTAACGTACAGAGAAATAATAGTTAAGACTAGCTTAAGACTGCAATTAGATTGAAGGGACGGGGGGAAAAATAACTATGGCGTCTTTTAATTACAAGACACGAGGCGTCTTTTCCATTTTGTCAAACGCTGATTATTTCAGTTGGCGGCAGTGGGTGAAAACCCGCCGACATTTGCGCTGGCGCACATGTCTGCTCCAAGGACAGAAGAGAGACTTGTTTTATGCATAAAAATGAATCATATTAAGCTCACGCATAATTACGCCGTGCCGCAGGCATAAAGATTCGTCAATTTTTTCTTATTGCATGTTTTCGCCGAAGCTTATAGAATTACCGCCGACAAACGCTAGTATATCTGTCCATTGTTTCCGTTATAATTACAGATAATTACGGTTGACCAAAATCGAACTTGTACATTCCTGTTTACAAATTGATTACGCTATTTACTTTTTTATCTGACTGATTGATGACTATATCGTAAATCTATTATTTATGAAATAGAATTTGCGCACTCATGCATGAAGTGTAAATTCACTTCGTATCACTTTACCTATTGTTGCTTGTTATTCTAGTTCTTGTAAATTTATTAAAGTAAAAATATATATAAAAAAGAAATAATAATAAAAAATTGTTCTGGCGACATTCACCAGTAGCTTGACTGTGAAGAATCTATTTATCTCTAATTCTAAATAAACTATAATTCTTAAAAACCACTTATACGGTACTTAACGCAGAAAAAAGGACTATGCAATACTAGTCATAAAAAAAATAGAAACAGCTGCCAGTAAACGCTGATCAATTTCGGATGATGCTAAAATCACTGATATGTTGACAATTAGAAGCACAATTAATCAGAGATATCTCGCGGATTTTACTATACGATACGTCCTTCTATAACAATTCAAAGATTTTATTCGCTGTATATGTAACTGAGAGATCTGTTTACGCTGTCTTGGTAGATCGCTTTCGCTTAAGCCTAAGTACCTTTCGTGTAAAAAGAGAAAACATTGTTTGCTTTTCGTTTCTTCCAGGCAAAGTTAAAATGAAGCAAGACAAGGCAACATCTTTTTTTGGTCGCAGCTTGCTCTGTCATTTTGTTTTAAGAGACATTTCTTTCTACCATAGCAAAAATAAGGGACATGAGAGCGATCTGAAAGCTCTAGTTTATCTTTTCAATTTCGAAGCAGTAAAAAGCCAGATGCATGTGTTTTCGCACGACTACTGCTAAACGAGTATCAGAAACAAATGGAGTACGATGAAAATAGTAAGGTCCACGATTCACGGTGAACTGAGCAAGATGAAGGACATTTTTTGAAAAAGATAACACGAACGAGATGAAGAGGAAGGAGGAGTTTAAATATTTTCACTTATCTGCACAATAACACTATTTTGCTTATGCATCACCAAATATTGTGATGAAATCAATAAAGGTAAAGAAAAGTACTGAGCAACGACCGAAGTAATTTTTTATGCATAGAAATCCGTCAAAACGCATAATCCCTCGGAAAACGTTTCCACGCGTAATATCCATTTTTGCGCATAAACGTCCGTAGAAAAACTATATGTTTGATGCGTGAAAAATTATTTACGCAGAAAAATCTATTTTTACGGACTTTTATGTGACTCATAATAAAACAGTTTTACAGTATGATCCACTGATTGCCATTTACACTATGAGAACAACAAGATTATATCATTGATCAAAACGGAAATGACTGAACATTGATAGATGGATAAAACGTCATTTGCTGAGAAATAAAATAGTTCATTCTTTTTTGATAAAATACGTTCTTGCTCTAAGGCAAATTCCTTTTTTTCTATTATCGATCACCCAATGAATTAAGATAAAAATTAGTTCTATTCTAGTTCTTAATGAACTGGATTATAGTAACTATGTTTGCAGTAATCTAATTCTATCAATTGGATGCTGCTCTATCATAAGATTATTTGGTATAAATATTGTTGCTATTCATATATTGAATCGATTCAAACAAAAATTCACCTAAGACTGATATTTCAATTCACTATAATGGAAAACAATTATAAGAAAAATTTGCAAGACTAATTGATAAATTGCAAATTTATATTGTTTGTAAGACTGTGTAAATGACAGACAATACATCAATAGCTGACGGTTTAGCATGAAACCCACTGGTTTTTGAAACAAAATTATTACGGTCAAATGATGAAACAGATAATCGTAAACAGCATGGTCTAGAATTTTACTCACAATTGACAAAAGAAATATTGATTCATAACTAGACAAGTATAAGTAGGGTTAACAAACGCTACCTTACATCGATGAGAAAAGCATCCTGCTCCAATTGAAGAAAGACATTAATGTTGATGTGAAAAAGTTGCAACGTTCTTTCTTAAAAGACTCAATGAGATATCATTTGGCCACAGGAGATATCATTCTTAAATTATTTCTAGTGTACATGTTTGCTGTGGTGATGAAGCAGCTAGATTCAGCGACTAAACATTAGTTCAGAAACAGGTGAGATGCACGTGAGAAAATATACCCCAAACAGAGCTGTGTTATCCTGGTCTGTTGAAGCTGTTTTTGTCACCCTAATTGTTGTAGCCAATGTTCCCCATTTTCATACGTCCATACAGTTGACAAACTTCTAAAATGGTCTCCGATTTCATTACTTGTCATCAGCTACAGTTCTGTCCACGGGACTAGTCCAATAGAGTTTTTTGCCCAATTCCATTTGCAAGCAAAAATGGTTTTTGAAATAGACTTACAAGTTGTCGAATTGGTGATTACAATGAAGAAATAAATATTAAAAACTGTATATTAGACAGTCAACGTTGGCATTCCTTTACCAAGTATATTCATATTCGATCTATCATCTCTGATAATATGGCGAAAGACATAGTGAAGCTTTTATTTTTGAATGTTACTTTCATCATCTATCATCTAGTATCTATCTAAAAAAATATTTATTTAAAATATAAAACATTAAATAATATTAACATTTCCTTTTGTATCGTTTTTGTACTATTACTCACTATTTCATATTTCTGAAAAGTTTTCAGTTGAATAAATCTGATGATATTGTTTAACTTTCGTTCTGTTCATCCATCAATGTCTCGTTTTCTGTATAATTATACCACCATGTTTGATTTCGATTAACCGAAATAACATTTTCTGTAAATTTATAAAATAATGAAAATAGAAACATGCCAACTAAACAGGCAAGCAATCCAGCACATATTAACTGAACAATTTCAGATACAGTCCAACGGCACCATTCACCATTTATAATATCATCGTTTGTACTAATAAAGAACATGAACAATAAACAAGAGTAAGGAAAAATTAAGACATATTGTATCAACTTACAATTCGTCCTCATCATCATCAACTTGAAGTTCAAAATTTGAACTTTCTGAATCACATTTTGACACATTAGAGTTAATAACAGGTGCCGATGTTGTAATAACTGACACTACTGGTCTATAATCAAATTACTTTTAAAAAAATCTACAAAATATTCAGTACGATCAACACTTACTTCATACCTTCTGTTTCACGTAGTATCATATAACCACTTGTGGAAATTTTTCGTACTCGTTTGTCATTTTCTCCAAGTTTTGAGCTGAAAATAAAACAAAATGCAATACGATTCGATTCGATTTACACTTTTCTTTATCAAATATGAGCAGTTATTATGAACATTTTTGAAAGAAGAAATGTAATCAATGATTATGTTGAGATGTCACTAATGATTAGTATCTGAAATCGTTCAACTAATCTGTATTGGTAATCTCGCGAATCTTTGGAAACTTGAATTTACAATCTTATAGAGGTTGATGACTATATTTCGATTGCTACAAATGGATAAATTACAACACGACAATACAGTGATGCTGGACCAATAAAATTTCTTCTATATGCATTCAGAAGAATAAATTATATTTGTTTTGGTTAGGGTATGCGATAGACGTAAAAGTTAGATGCAAGCTCCTAATAGTCACTTGTATATTGATAGCATGGTCTTGCATTCGGCTCTTACGCGTATAGCGTGTCCTGATATCTATTTATTGTGGTTGAAACTCTTGTTGTCCCAACTGTCCTGGAGATTCGCGGTAAGATTACTTGAAAACGGAAAACTTTTTGTGATTTTTTCCTTGTTTTCATCTGCGTTCTCGTCTTTGTAACTAGAAAAGGTAAAGGTAAGGTGTTTCTAATGACAATTTTAAGCAAAGTGGTTTACCACTGATCGCATTTTCCATGTTTTCCCTGCTAAAAACAGTGAAAATCGAATTTTCAAAGTGGAAAATCGCCTTGCTCTCACGGGGACCACCATTCATTAGAAACACTGGCCCGATCCGATCTTTATGAAAGTGAAAATAATACCTGGATCGCTTCGTAAATCTGTTTATCGGATGAACCCTGTAGGAGAATTTAAAACAATTCTACCTCTTCAAGCTTGAACAAACCCTATTTTTTCGTTGTTTTAGGTTCTCGATAAGTGTAACCAGTATTTCTAATGAGAGTTTTGAACAAAGTGTCAATCCAAGGTTTATCTGTGCATTTTTCCAGCTAGAAACAGAGTTTCAATGAAATTTTCGTAGAGTCATGGCACGTTACGGCTTTGGTAGGATTCACCCTTAGAAACTATCTTTGTGAGTCCTTAGTAAGGGTGACACTTTACTAGTTACTCGTTACTAGTAACGAAGTAACTAAGTTCGTTACTAGTTACAAGTAAAGCAAAGGTGAAGTGTCACCCCTAGCCCTTAGAATCTTATATAGTTAAAATACGAAAAATTTTAACTTCACCTTTTCAAGAAATATTTTTATCTCAGACACCATTTAAATAGAACTACAAAAAATGAAAATTATTAAGTTCGGTCGGGCAGTTTTCACAGATACGCTTTTTAGAAATCTCTGTGAGATTATGGATTCCAGTCAGATATTCGAGCTATTTTTGGATTTGTTTCCAGTATCAAAACTATCCCGTAAATTAATATTTTCTATCGTTTGCAAGAACATCTAAAACTAAAAATATTAAGCGGCTTTCTGAAAAGCCAGCTGTTTTAAAACCACCTTCCGAACTTAAATCTTGGTCTGTTTTTCGGTTTTATTTGAGTAGTAGGGGCAGGTGAATATGTGCAAAGAAAACAAAATTTTCAAATACTATAGATTGATGAGGATAGATGGAAAGCTCTGGAATACATGACTATGAGACCCATTGATTATCGCTTCTCGTCTGCGAGACGTGCTTCACTTTGAATAAGATATCTTCATTACAAAATATGTTGCTAATATACTTACGTACGATATTTTCCTAGTCGAAATTCTTCATGAAAAGTTGCGTAATAATATCTGGTTTATTAGAACAATTTTTGAAGTTCTATCTATTCTAAAATATCTAGTTTTTAGATGGAAATCCAACATTTTCTGTACTCTTTTTCAACTAGCATCACTAACACAGTTCATAGCTTGTGGGTAAGTGCATGAAGAGATGAATCCAGAATTTTTCGTTGGTACATGCGGTATTCTACAAAAGTGTGAAATAAGTACGATGCAATAATCGTAGAAACAAATTATTCTAAGACAGTTCTACCGAGAAAAAAACATGTATTTTGCTCAAAAGGTGAGTGCTTGCTGTACGATAGCTGGATCCGCATCTCTTACTGGAGTGCATGATCCCGATCTTAGGACCCCTGAAATGGTTAGATTCTGTGAGATGCAAGCAACCACTTTCGGCACCATAGAAAAAGTTGTAAATTTTAAAGGTCTTATGACCCTGTGCATAATGCATATAGTCAAATCCACTCAACTTTCAACATATATAAAGTGGAAGTAAAAATTCTGAATTATCTAATACATCAACTCATATACTTTACTCGTAGGCGGAACTGCGTAGAAACATCCAGCTTGTACACCATAAATTTTGACTTCACCGAAATGGATGATCATATCATCCACTTTTCTGGCGTGGCAGTCGGAAAAGTAATAGATAATCCACTTCGGCGAAGTCGAAGTTTACAGTGTAGCAATAATTCTTATATCATCGGTCTTAAGTCGTTATGTGAAACAGGTTTCACAGATTCAATCAAATTTTGCCGTTACGCGCTTTGAAGTTTCTAAACTAACAAGTGCGGCAGAATAAATGGCGGTTTCAGTATTTTCTATTTTTCTGGTATTTCTTTACGATGCTAAGGTTAGTGCTTTTTTAAAAAATGCCCCGTGAAATACTCTAGAAAATCATACTTAAATTTTAATTTCAGAACTTCAGTCAAGAAAACTATGTATACGAAGGACGAAAAAAAATGAAAACTTTCTAAAATCAAAAACGATTTCTTGTGTTAACGTTTTGAAAGTAAGAAAATTTGAATCAGTTATTATGTAGCCCTGACTTCGCTCTATCTTTTAGCTACACTTCACATTTTTTCACATCAAAACCCATGGAAAAACAATAATTTTTCTGCCAGTTGTCACGCGTTTTTCCATTAATTTATTAAATTCTGGCTAGAGGTACTTTCAGTAAAACTCTCATAACTCCATCAAACCAAAAGCTTTTTCGATCGAATTTGTTTTGTTTTGGTTAGAAATGATTGCTCTTCTCTACCTAACTGCAAAATCAAAACTTCGATCATGCTTTTCGTTTCTTGTTTGGGCACATTGTCAATTTTGCAGGGCTGTCAATTTTTGACGTATTTTTATAACTTCGTTCTCCAGCACACCATCTGCTCTAAAAAAAAGACTTTTTCCAGACTATGAGAAAGAGTACACTCAAAAGTAAAAAAAGAACTGCGTTCTCACTTTTGCTCTTTTGCTACACTTTTTTACGGAAATAATAGCAGAAGAAAAAAATTCAGGTCGAAAAAAAATACCAAATTTAGAAAGTTTTCATTTTTTTCGTCTTTCATATAATTTGTATAGTTTTCTTGATTGAAGTTCTGAAATTAAACTTTAAGTAGGATTTTGAAGAGTATTTCGCGGCGCATCTTCTAAAGAAAAACACTAACCTTAGAGTCCTAAAGAAACACGAGAAAAATAGAAAATACTGAGATCGTCATTTATTCTGGCGCACCCGTTATATGTCATTTGTTATATGTGAATGATTTTTTCGGTTTTAATCTGTAGTGAACTGCGCCAAAGAGAAGTAGTAAAGGCCAGTATTTTTTTATGACAGTATACCATGCACGTTTCGAAATTTAGGTTTACTCTTTGTCGTTATTCAACAAAAACTCTATTAGTGTGAACGAGTAATTAAAAAATATTAGTGAACCCGAAACAGATAATTGTGTATACTGAAATTTGTATTCTTTGTTATTTTGTGTTTGAAAAAAATTATTACACTTCGTGTGTATGAGCAGTCAGATTAATAGAAAAAAGTATTTTTCTTGTTATACAAGTGTTGTGATCTTTTTCCTTGTGGTTATCTGTGTGCGTAAACACGCACACTTATCTACTTACTTATCTTTGGAAAAAACTGAAAAAGCTTCTTCGTTCTTCATATTTGACTTATACGTTTTTCTCAAAATTTGTACACTTTATAAGAAATAGTATATGCGTGTATTGTATGACAAAAGCTCTTCAGAAACGTTGGGTGACATAGCAAAGTTTAGTAGAAATTACCAGAGAGAACAAAGAAGATACGGCTTAAATTTTTCTGAGTGGGATGATCGCAGGCGTTCCAGCATGTTCACACAATAATGCAAAAAAGCTTATTTCTAGCATTTTCATTAAGTAATAACGAGAGAAGACTAAACGTTACTTCTACCAGTGAAAATATCTGGTGTTTTTCGTCCCTATACACCAGAAGAATCGAATCAATTGTTGCTGCTTCACAGACTGACCAGCAAAAAAGGAGGAATTAAGCTACCTCGCTCCTATGATACAGTTGATTTATTTTTTAAGGATATGAAAAAATACGTACACATCCATTTTGTTAATCGTGAATTTTTTTACTTATAACTAGTTTATTGTGCCATTTTATTAAAGTAGAATATTTTCATAAATTTTGTCTGTTATTTTTTCTTCGTTTTTTTTCCCTACTTGTCAGCATTGCTGACCGATATCTATTTATCAATTTGATAACAGAAATATGTTTTGTTTTGTTTTGTTTCATTCTAGAGCATATTTTATTCTTCTATGGAATTGAATGATACTTGGTATGTAACGTCGTAGCATGGCATGTGTGAATCCACGTTTATCGACAATTGCGTTAACATAATGATGTTTCTGTAAACAAGGTTCTGTAAAGAATAAGGTAAAACGTGTTCAACATATTGAAGTATTATAAATTAATGCAAAAATTTGTTAAGATAAGACTGTGGATGACAGATTTTCAGAATATAAAATAAACTCGAAGCAAAGCGTAAAAAATATTTCATATTTTTAACAACTAAATTATTGATAATATTTTTTCTTCTTCTTTATTTTAGCTGGTTACAAGTTTCATGTGTCATCCACGTTGCCTGATATTAGAGTAATACGATGTAATGTTGACATAGAACTAGAAATCGCTGCCGAACAATAAATACTGATCATGCTCAAAAACAGAAACAATAATTTTCGTCTAGGGCTGCCATGGTTCTTCTATACTGTGGCACTTTATTAATGAGCAGCATAAAATTATTACTATGGATCAAAAATAGTTTGACGCTTCAGCGTAAGAAACAAAGTACTTTTGTATAATTTTTCACACTACTTTGTCAAAAATTATGCAAATAAACAGATTTCGTATACAAGCAGCACACGTGTATTTTATCTTTGTATTAAACATGTACGAGATTGCGTGTATATTATAGTTTTCTTGACTTTTTTGTTTACTAATGTAGAATATGATATGTTTTTGTAAGAAATAAAATAGTTTTTGTACCTCTGTCTGTATAATTATGAAAAAGCATAAAACGTTTATTTAAATTTCGTCGCGTTGTATTAGCTAGTTATCATAGCTCAAATTGACATGACATGCTAATGTGATCTTTACGCTATACAAGTGATTCTATGATGATTACTACTTGTTACATGTTTTGTTATTTTCTTGTTCTAGATGTATATTAAAGCCATGCGTCGTGTGTACATAGTCTTATTCGTTGTCCTATCAAGTATTCTCATATTTCAATCAGTTTTATGTCAAGATGACAAAGTGAAGAAGCAGAATTACTATTGTTCAGGTAAGATAAATAGCGATTTTCTATTTTATTTTTATTAAACTTGACTTTGTTGTTTTTTTCACTGTTTATTATTGTTCTATGTCTTTATACTTTTTTAGCATGTAAATTAATGATGTGTAGGTTATATGAACAAATGAAAGAAGTTGATCCAAATGAACGAGTACAAATAGGTAGTTATAGAGTTGATGGTAATGGTCATCAAAAATTAAAAGATGTAAGTTTATTTATTTAGATGAACGATTATTTTAATAAGATTGAAATAAAATAACATTTATTAATAATATTCTCGATTAGCAGTTTATTCTTGTCTTTTGCTTATTATTTAGGTACCTGTATCCGAAACAAAATTTCATGCTGAAAATGTTGTTGAGAATATTTGTTCAGAAGTAACAGAAAATTGTATGTTAAAGTATAGATAAAATAAGAAAGAATTTTATTCTTTGTGTATTATCTTTTAGCTAAAGGTCATATACCAAAACGTTTAAAAAATATGTATGAACATGCTGTAAGTAAACTGTTTTATACTATCATTCATAGAAATAATATACATAAATGTAATTGAACATATTATTATTTTGCAGCTTGATTATCCATTTATATTTCATAAAATATTTTTGATATTTTTGATAAAATATAAAAGCATTCTGTCTGATTTCAAATGTAAGTGACATCTATACAAATGAATACAAGAAATATCAGCTGCAAATAACAATATCTGTTCAATTATAAATTTAAGAGTAAATTCACTTTGCTCTTCTTTTTTTTTTGTTATATATTTTACTGGACAATTGAAAGTACTTCAATTGCCGACTGAGGGATGGTATAGTTAACAAGTTTGATTGAGTTTCAGTCACTCAATTTCACAACGCAATAACAAAATTTTATTTTGTGTATTTTTATTGAAAATCGTGTTGTTGAATTAATACAATGCAGAATATGAAGTATCAGAGAGAAACGGGCTTGTTTTAATGAACTCACACACTAAGTCATTGGTCTGGCATTCAACAAAATTATAAATTGAATATTTTGGCAAATCCGTTTTCTATCATTATCAAAAGTCAGAATTGACGTTTTTGTTCATACTTTTTTTATATTTCTCTCGTGTAACAAAAATATAAATGAAAGATTCGGAAGAGGAGAAGTATATTTTCTTCAAAGAACATACACATCTCAATTAGGAAATTGAGCTCATTGTTTGAATTACATGTCAGTTGTTTCTCAACTTCATTAAATCTGATAATGTTTTGGATAGAGAATTTTAGATCGATTAGAATGTCTCGTTTTCATCATGAGTTTAATTGAACCAGAAGTTTTACTGACATCTATTTCTGTTTTCCTTGTTATTGAGAATATTTTTCTTTGTTAATTTTTATATGCAATTTATTTCTATTTACAATAATTAAAAGTGAAATATGAACATTCTTCAATCATCTTCATCATCTTGTTCATAAAACAAACGAGAACATAAATCAAACACATACATTTTCTTCTTTGTTTTTTTTTTTCTTTTTATTTTCTATTTGAAGACAAACATTGAATCTAATAAATTGACGTCAGTATAAAAGAAGAAAGAGAAAGCGGTCTGTTTTTTTTTGCTAGACTCAAATAATTATTAGCTAATATACATACATCTATCTTTCTTTGCGATGTTGTCAAAATATTGGAACGAACATTTTTCTTCTCTTTTTTTTGTTTTTTTTATCTCTTTATTAAAAGCAAAACAAAGAAAAAAATTTATACAATTTTTTTTTCTTTTTTTGTGTTCTGAGTAAATATTAAAGAATAAAAAAAAAGTAATATATTTTAAGGTTGAACGTGACTTTTTGAATAAAAAGACGAAAAAATGTCTGTGTGAGATTTATTTATCTTAGTTTCATTTCACAGAAAAATCTTTTAATTTTAGTTCAAATATCTTTCTTGCTTGACTAAATCGAAAAAGAAAAGAAAATTTGAGTTGACTATATAGACGATTATTTCATTTAACAGAGATATCAAGTAGAGGACAAAGAATTTTGATTTAAAAAGTTCTTTGTTCATTTCATTTATTAATGGAATTAGAATTGATTTGTTATTCTAGTTTTCTCTGATTATCTAAAAATAACGACAGTAATGATGTTTGATTTGTCTCTTGTCGTTGGTTGTTTGTTTGTTTGTTGTCATGAATTGTAAATCTGATCACATTAGATTATTGGAGAGATTAATAAGATGTTCGTTGACCTTATTGTGTTTGTTATTCTAGTTTTCTTTAAGGTAACACCTACTAAAGATAAGATTATATATATATATGTGTGTGTGTATGTATGTGTGACAACGACCTATTTCATTTAATTGTACGAATATCACTACATAGATTTATTTTATTAATTTCTTATATTAGTGCATAAGATATTCTTTTTCTTTTCTTTTTTTTTCTCTCTCTCTCTCTATGTTCTAATAAACAGATGATTTTCATATCTTAACATCCTCTCTATATATGTACATGTCTGATCGAATCAATATCTTCTTTACATAATATAAGTGCAATAATAAATATTGAAGAGAAACCAAGAACAATGCGCGCTTCTGTTCTTGTTTTCTTTTTTTGTTTAGAATTAACAAAAGGTCGCCACTTTCACATGTTGAGTTATAACTATTTTTTAACCCAAAGGAAAATAATAATGATAATAATAAGAAGAAGAATAGTACTGAAAGAAAAAGATCTTTTTCTTAGCCAAAAAGAATAAAATGATTTGGTCTTTAAGTGAAATGTCACCAAAAATAAAAAATAAAAAAACGGTAAACTTTTACCAGATGAATATTATTGATTCAATGTGTGTACACGTTGGAAGTTAAACAGTCAGATGCTCCAACAACAATAACTACAATTTTAACGTGTTTCCATGACTTGGATCTTTCGTGTTTGTGAGTTTTCTTTTAGCATCATGAAATGATTGCCTGTCTGTTAATACTTCTTCTACAATCATGCATTCTTTTCTCTTCTTCCCCTTATCTATTTCTTACTATATAACGTCCTACACACAAATAGTAGGATCTATTAAGTTCATTTAATATCTTTCTAATGCTGATGTTACTCTTTCTTTTTTATCCTATTCTCTCTCTCTCTCTCTTTTAGTTTTTCTATGAACATACAATCGATATTATATTTTAATTCATATATTTTAAGTAGTCTTTTATATTTGAATCAAAAACTTTATAGAAATAACCTTGGGTGCTATTTGCAAACGTTATTTTTGTATTGAAAAAAAAAGAAAGATACTTAAAATAAAAAAAAGTGAACTTCTACACTGTAGAACATCATAATGTGTTTTTAGCATTTAACTTAACACAAGTTTCTGACATTTTCTTTTTTACAATTGTTTTACTCATTAATGAAGTCAAAAGAAATAAAACTATACTTAAATATTCACAGTTATCTTATGTGTGTAGTATTTTAGACACAAAAATAGATTTCCTATTAGTTGTTGAAAACTTTTGAGATTTCAATATTTAAATTATATTTTCTAGTGTGATGATATATTAGAAGAACATCATGATCAATTAGTTGACGTTTTAGTAGTAAAAGAGTTTAATCAAAATGAACGAACATTAGCTGATAAATTCTGTACTGATACTACAAGTATGTATTCTATTTTGTATTTTTATTCATGAAAAACTTGTATAAATACTTCTCTTGTTTAGACTTTTGTACTGCTGAACAATTAACTGATCTGTTTAATTTGATACCTCCATCACCTTCACCAGAATCCGACGAAGAAAACGAAGAATTTGAAGACGAACCAACAACAAATGATAAAGTTGAACTTTAGATTTAGCTTATCTTTTTTTGTTGTCAATGTTATGCGAATGTTTTTTATTTATTTGTTATAATTGTTTTTATTTTCGTTTTTTTGTTATTGCTAACACTGTTTTTTTTTCATTTGAATGCTACAGTCGATATGACCTGATTTGAAATTCTCTTTTTAGCTCGTTTTAAAAGTCAAATTGTTTGTCAGTGATCAAATGTTTTTATTGAAAAAAGAATGTAACGTAAGATATCATAATGTTTAGCTCAAATCGAAGAGTGTGTAAAGTGTAGATATTGAGAAATTATGCCCTTACGTGTTTTGAACACTCGAGTAATAAAGAGATGAGAACACGTCGCTATAATAAAATCTTTCGTTCATTCTGTTAGCGTTTAAAAGCCTGTTCTCATGTTATGATAAACAAGGATATGTACGATTTACGCTGCCAATGTACCACGTTTTCGTGAAAAAAAATGTAAAAAATAAACTGTCTTGTGGACTTTTTTCTCAGTAAATTTTGATAGCCCAAGCGCTGACCACTTTCATTTTTCTCAGGAAGAACAAAATGTTTTTAATCGCAGTTTTGGGCATATGTTGTCCATCGCAAAAGGAAAAAAAAGGATAAAAGAATCGCTGCGAAAAGTTGAGTATTAACGAACATATTAGAAAAACAAAATTGAAAATCTCACGGAACATTTAGTGTTGTGAAACTTGTTTTCAGAGAAAGTAATTGTCACTTTTTACAGGAAGGACAGCATTGATCTTTTATTTCTTTTTATCAAAATGATTCTCAAAATCTGTGGGCTACCTTTTGGTAAAGATTACGCTTAATTTTAGCTGAGATATGCGCGGTTCAATCTTATGGGATAGAAAAGGACCAAAGTATCTGTAACAACATTATTTTAATTTATTTGCGTAAAAAATTGAATTAAACCGCTAATTCATCTATATATTTTAAGCGAATTAGTCTTCAGCTTCAAATTATTCCTAAGAAAAAGAATTAGAACTCATTCCGTTTTTAGAAAAAAAAAATTCATTTTTCAACGGCAGCGGATACCAAAAACCTTGGCATGCGACAATACAACTGTTATATCAGTGTAACAAATGCAGCTAAAGAGTTGTTGCCCTTCATGGTTGTGGACAAACGTTAGACAAATAAAGATCCGTTTAGTAGAAAAAAAGTTATTGCGTTTTTAGTTCTCAAATATCAACGGTACAAATAGCAGCACAAATCGCACATATGTGACAGTTAATGTACCTATGAGAAAATGTTATAATTTAGGTGAATTTTAGCTGTGTAAAAGATTTCTGATAACAGAATTCTATTTCTTAGTGCACTGTTCTACTATCTCAAGAGTGTAGCTTGTAATTGATATTGTGCATATTTGATTCTACTACAAAAAAGAAATGATAGAAGTATGTTTAATACGTCATGTGTGTACAAACAGCTATCGTTAATTGTTATTCTATAGCAAAAATCAAAATATGTTGAGAAAGAGATAAACAACACTTTCATCTAATGTATGAAATAATAACTGATATATTATTACCCAAAGTCACTTGATTATTATGGTGTTCATATTTATTATTTTTATTTATTTAACACATACATGCGCGTGTGTGTATGTGTGTGTATTTATCTAAAATGGAGACACAAACACGACACATGACGCCATAATTCTTCTTTTCCTTTCTTTTTTCATTTACAAGAGGAAAATTAGTAGGAGACTAAATATGAGTTGTTAACCAATAAAACAAAAACACTTGGAAAAATAAAAATGAACGTTGAAACATGTTTCCATAGATATAGAGGAACAAATTAAACTGAAACTTATAGATCTGATCATGATATAAAAATGATGGTTAATTAATCAATAAATTATCTTTTCTTTAAAGAAGAGTACACATTTTGTTTGTTTAACGGTGTTCGATAATTTAATTTATACATTTAAATTAATTGAATTATAACATTTATTAGACATTAACATAAGTACAAATTATTAACATAGTATAAATGATTTTCAACAAGTTATCTAACAAGGTCACTCTACCGATAAATACGTGCATTTTTACTGAGAGGTATACATCAAGTATTTTTATCACATTTTATCAACTGCTATACAAGAATAAGGAAAAAAAAGAAGAGAAAAAGGACATTTTTTCTTTTTTTTTATTCATTTTGGCCTTTTGTATGTTATGTTAATTGACATTAGTACGATGTTTGTTCAAGTGGTATAAACAGGTGGATATAAGAATAAGAATGTATGCATCGATCATTTAATTCGTCACTATAGTCATTGTTGAATAAACAGATATGTATCTATCAATCTATATAATAAAATTATTATGAATTTTCTTTTTTATCTCTCATTTTTAGTATTATGTCGTCTCTGTAATATAAGATTTTTTTTATTTTTATCAATTATTATTATTTATCATAGACTACATTTTATTTACTTCTCTTGTTCTCTTCAACATAGTGATTAACGAATTGCGTTAGATCAATACACCTGAAACTTTGCTCACGTAATCGAAAAGCAAACGTTTGAGTAAAATTTCAGGCGTTCATTACCAACGCTTTTATGCCATGATTCATAATCTGATCTTTGTTATGGAAATAAAAACCATCTCCATCGAGTATACATCTATATAAGTTTATAATTGTTTTGTTGTAGTTTGTTTAAGCATTCATTGACGATCTAAATATTCATCATATAGTATACACAAGGGATATTTGCACAATTTTTTAGTGATGTTCATTTCTTATACTAATTTATCCTTTTCAATTCCACTTCTTTTCTTATATAGTCACAAAAACAAGAAAAGAATTATGTATGAATTTGCTCTAAATTCAGATATATTCATGATAATGACTGTTGTTTGAATTATTCTATAATCTATGAATATATACAAGAAATCACTTATTTTATATCATATTTATTTATTTTACATCAGTTATCGTTGTAACTCAATCAGACATCACCACTGATATTTTTAAAAACATGACAAATATTGTCAGTGTCTATCTATCGGGGCCACATAAAAAAATACCACAGGTAAGAAATCAAACAGATGGCATTTTTTCTCCTCTTCTCCAATAAATATATGTTCTTATATGTAAAAGAATAGGAAAAATATATCTTCTCATCAATTCTTTTTCTTCTTAATACTATAAAAACATCCCATTAATATGCAATAGTAATAACTGCTATTTTATGTATATATTCTTGAAACCTTACCTGTTGTCCATTCAAGGAACGAGAAATGAAGAAACACGTAGCTTCACTATGACATTTTTATCCATTATCAGATAATAGCACACATAACTTCTTTTATTATTCTCTATATCACAATGTATTCCAATAATGTATGTCCACGTTAATCGACACAAGACTACTCGACAAATTTATCTGAAAATAAAAATGTTTGTTCTGATTTTTTTTTTTACCGTACAAAAATATATTTATAACATTTTGTCTCGATTGTAAAAAAAAGATTTTTTCTTCTTCTTGTTGTCTTAATTAAAACATCTTTTAGACATCATTTATTCAATTAACAATACGAAAAGCGTAACAAACAACGATAAATCGTATAACTTTATTCATATTGTCTTGTGCAGATGTGTAGAATATTTAAAAATCGTTTTGCATTTTCGTCAGATTATAATTGTACAACAAATCTATCCAAGTTCTCTTTTTAAACAGCTGTTTATGAATCATTACTACTTGTACATAGTATATATGATAATAAAAATGTCAGATAAATGTGAAAGTAACAAATCTATCATCTCAACGTCACTCTCGCATACGAAAAGACTAATTTGCTCTGAATAAGAGTTGAATGTAGTTCGTAACTACAAGCAATTAAAGAGAAAGAGGGAGAGAGTATAGAGACATATACACGTGGAAAAGAATACTATCAGTACGTTTTAATAGATACGATTTTAGGAAAATTTTTCTATTATCTTTGTTCCAATTCTATTCTGTTTTTTTCTAAGATGTACGTTTTGAATAGATGCAACTTTCATCAATGATTGCGAACAATCACTCACTACCGATCGTTGTCATATCAGAGTTTCATTATATGTTAAAAACGAACATTTTATAATATCAAAACTATATTAAATTATACAAAGTCAACAAGCGTTTTTAGAAATACATATTGGACAAAATAATATCTAAAACATTTTGCACTTTTCCCCATTATAACTATCTAAGATTTTTTCTACTGCGATTTAGGCAAAAGTGTATTTTTTTGATTTTCAAAACATCTCATAGTGAGAAACGACTCATGTGTCAATTGACTTGCTATAAAAAATGAAAAAAAAATCAACAATCATCATGGTAATTGTTAATCTAAGTGTACGAATCCCTTGTACGATCTGAAATTGATAAAAGTGTTGTAATTGTTACTTTTAAAGAACATGAGTTCATTATGGATAGGATTGTTCCTTGGAATCGGTAACGGGGGAGTAGGCTTAGTGTACTGGATATATAAATTTTTCTAAATCTATCTACCAACCAGCGATCAAGATCAGGTGGGTGCCAGTCCCTTCTTGGAATGTGTAACTTTCCGTAAAAATTTTTGCCTGGAGTTTCAGGCGCGAAAAATGTGGCAACAGCATAAAAAACTACTTTTTATGTCAACTTTTCTGTATTAATCTTCCGCATAGGCGTGCAAATACGAGTATGGTCTCTTTTATATTACTGGGAAGTCTGTTTTTCTTTCATAAGTATTTCACGTATGACTGATTTATTTTATCCGAACGAAAAGTGAAGCAACCTCAGATAAAATCATTCTATTTTCGCTCCATTGCTTTCCGCAAGATATTTTAATAAGCTTTCCGTTACAATTATGTGGCCAAAAAGCAATCGGAATCTCTGCTACCAACTATTTATTATTCAAAGTTTATATTGACTTACTAGTACAATAAAAATAAGACACAAAAATCCTGCCCTCAAAAGCAATTTAAATATTCCTAAAACTACTAAATTTGCTACCATTATGTCTAAAAATCTGCTATA